GCTCAAATATTTGCTATGTCTGGGCCAATTACCATATTTGGACTTGAAAAATTTTAGTAAGGTCTCTCTTTAGAGAATGTTCTTAATTCTAAGCCGCAGAAGAAAATAAAACCTGTTGGAGATGACAAACAGCCCACACATACACACAGTTCTGAGCAGACACACACACACACTCTCATGTGAGCAGATATTCAGATCACTTCCTCAGTAGCCACTCCTGGGAAACAGCAGTGAAGAATTAAGAAAGGGGAAAACCTCTGATTTTCCTACTTCTTGTTCTTCAATTCACGTATGCAGGTGTGTACAACACACACACACACACATGTATAAACAGGTATGAGGGGCTTTCCTGGTGGTCCAGTAGCTAAGAATCCGCCTGCCAATGCAGGGGACAAGGGTTCAATCCCTGGTCCAGGAAGATGCTACCTGCCACGGAGCAACCAAGTCCATAGGTTGCAACCACTGAAGCCCTCACACCTAGAGCCAGCGCTCCACGACAGAAGCCACCGCAACGAGAAGCCCGCAGCAACAAAGGCCCCGTACGGCCAAAACAGTAATTAAAACAGGCCTGAGAGATGTGTTTTCTCAGAAAGCATCTAGCACACAAGTGTTTTATAAAAGTCACCCTGCACTTGTACCAACAGAACTTCTGTCCATTTAAATAAATGTGAACCACCTTAAAGCCTGTTATAAAGTCACTAAAAGTATACAAGTTAAAATACAAGTGAATACCACAGAGGTCAATCATAAAATGCTTCCACAGCGTGAGGTTCAAATGGATGTTTAAGAACATATTAGCGTCTATTTATAAAACAGTTCCAGCGGCACATCCAGAGGTTCCCTCTCCTTGCTCTTCCCTCGGTCGCATAATTACCCAGGTACACACCCCCCCAAGTGCTCTCAGAGTCAGAGGCGACCATGTCAATACCTGACTCAACCCTCGACCAATCACCAACCACCTCGTATGGTGATGCAAGCAACCCCTGATGCCTACGAAATTCCATTTCTAAAGCTTTCTGTTAGAAACTGGGTCCTTCAATCAATGTGTCCAACCAACACACCCACCAATTTCTGCTAGGGCTAGAAGATGCAAAGATGAATAAGACATGGCTTTCAGCATAAAAATCCAATGCCTGGCACATAATAGATGCCCAATTAACAGCTGAAGAATGGGTAGAGGCATGACTGAATAAGCAAGCTCACAGTCCCTGGCGGTTCAGTGGTTAAGGTCTGATGCTTCCAATGCAGAGGCACGGGTTCGATCCGTGGTCAGGGAACTAAGATCCCACGTGCCACGGGGAGCAGCCAAAAAAAAAAACCAAAGATGAACGTAGGGGCCATGTTTGTACATTATTCTCTATCCTGACTGTCTCATTTTATCTACACATCCAAGTGGAAATGATACTTATGTGACTTTTATCTTAAATTGCTATATAGCAATTCAGCGTGTTAAGTGTATTATTGTTTATTCAGTCATTCCCAGAATGCTTTGTGTAGAATCTATCACTTTACTAGTATCAGCAGCTTAACCCAAATTAACTTTCCTCTCCTACCCCCAATTCCATGAATTATTTCCTCAGAATACAGTTCCCAACACGGAATTTATGGGTCAATGGCAACGAACACCTTCTTTGTGCTTAGTTGTCCTTATTTATCACCAAACTGCAGCAGAAAGAAAATATGCAGCACTACCAATATTTCTTACCACCGTAACCTATAATTATTTCGAGTAAGCTGGCAGACAAAATAAACTTGATTTCCATTTGCTGAACTGCTAAGGAGGATATCCCTGTTCTTCACAATGATGTCATGTCTCAAATTTTCTGTCTTCATCTCTCCTCACCACTTCCAGAGAGAACGCTGTGTACTGACCTTTGGGATCTCAATATTTTGGATGATCACCATTTAATCTTTTACACTGTCCCTTTATTTTTACCCATGCTGTGGCATTCCATTTAATATTTATTCTGTTGCTTGTGGCTGGGCTATTCTCCTTTTGTTCTTTAGCTATTCAGGCAAATCTGTCTTGTGGACGATAATTTTCTGGCTTGCCTCAGTGGCTATAAGTTTATCTTCCTGGTACAGCTGGGTTAAAAATGGTATTCCATTTTCTTCTAGTGATTTTGTGAATAAATATAGTGGAATCCAAAAGCCAAGGCACCTTTATACTTTGAGATGAATAGACTTTTAAAACTGCAGAACTTTCTGGTCAGAGTGCAATGTTCTCAGTTCCCAAGGTGGACTGGCCCATATCATGAAAGGAGAGATGTCACAGGACAATTACTCTTCTCCAATCAGGAGAAAGCTGGGTATGAAATCTGAGAATCAAAACTTCCACCTCCTTCTTAGGTGTCCACCACCCTGCAACCCTCAACTGCCAGTGTGTTTTATACACATCTCAACAAGCTGGCTCAGAATGAATTTTCAGTAAGAAAGGTCATCACAGATGTAAAAGCAATCACCTGAAGAAGATACCTGGTTGTCACCCAGAAGTACAACAACCAAATCAAAACAGCTATGGAAGCATGTCACCTAATTATCTTCCTTATAATGAAACTCCCTAGGAAATTTTAATAATTTCCATTGATGGAAAATGGAGAGAAAATAATATGGTAAGGAAAAAAGCAGCACATATATAGTCATTTACAAAGTTGAGATTATACTTGAGAATTTTTACATATCTTGGACATGACTGAATGACTAACATATATGTAACATATATTAAAAAAGAAGTAAATTCACCTGAAACTAATACAACCTTGTAAATCAATTATACCTCAATTTAAAAAATAAAGTAAAATAGAAGCTAAGAAAAGAAAATGGGTATGGCTGACTTTGGAATCTCAAAAAATAAAGTGTTAAAAAGAAGAAGTAAAAAAAGAAGAAGAAGTAAACTCATTGAAAGGTTAACAGTGCTTATGTGAAGGGAGGTAAGATTATGAGTTATTCTAATCTTTAGATTTCTTTTGCATTATATACTTCATATGATTAAACATTTCTACATACACATATCCAAAGCACATACTTTTATCCTTTTAAAATCTTGAATTTCTAAAAATGGATGTAGAGAAGATTTTGGCATTATACTGAAGCAAATGCTAGTAGTAATTAAGCCAAATACCCATATTTTTATTTCGGCTACTGCTCACTAAACACAAGGACCTCCCTTTTTTCATATGTACCAGGACTCCTATCAGTAAGTCTGAGATTCATTACTGCACATTTAAAAGAATTCTCAAGATAACACAAACTTGCTTTTTCTTTTCTCTTAGGGTTTAAGTCTCTAAATTACTTGCAAAAAACAGTTGCAATGAGGTTTACATAAAAGCAACATGATGGTATTGTGGTTACACTGTTTTCTTTTTAAGTCCTTACCCACTGGATAAATATTGAAACATTTATTGGCAGTAATAAAATATTTAAAATTCCCTTAAAATACTCAAGCCAAAAAAAGTGCTGAGGGAAAGAGATCAAACAAGAACAAAAGAGGATTGAAATTATTTAAGTTGGGTGGTGGGGACCATTATTCTATTCTGCTTTGTGTACATTCAAGGTTTTTCCATAACAGAGCTTTTTGAAAATGTGCTATAAGTGAAAAGCCATATACACAAGTGCAGCAAATGATTCCTTATTTCACCCAAGGTAGCAAAGTTAAGATCATAGACACTTTTTTATTTCCCCCCACATCAGGGTGACTATTTCAAAGGGTGCATCTGACTCTACCTTCTTCTTATTAGGCAATAAAAAGTATATGCATGTGTAAATCTATCCAAAAATGTCTTTCATATGCATCTGAAGACTTGAGTCAGAAGATTTCAGATTTTCTGTTCTGGGCCAGAATTAGAACAAGATAGCCAACTGACATAGCACTCCTTGGCTTATGACACTTAAAAAATAAAGCAAGAGGCATGCTAATCCCAACAGCAACCAGACCTATTCTAGGAGCCCCATTCTCCTGCTTGACATAGAGTGAGGACTCGGCGACTTCTCAAAAAGGACCAGCTGGTCTCCACATGAGATAGCTGCAGGGCAAAAAGCCTCAGTACTCAACACAAGTTAGATAGGCAGGACCGCAGGACTTCCCCGGTGGTCCAGTAGCGAAGACTCTGTGCTCCCAACACAGGGGCCCAGGGTTCAATCCCTCGTCAAAGAACTAGATGCTGCGCGCCGAAACTAAAGAAGATCCCACATGCCACAACTGACATCCGGAGCAGCCAAATAAATGAATGAAAAATTCAAAAATAAAAAAGAAAGAAAACCAAGACCATGATCATTTATTTTATACAGTCGGTTCTCAGAAATAGTTGCAGAGGACGACATGAACACCAAAGACCCTGGGAGCCCCAAACTGATGACTTCCCAGCCAATCAAAAGTAAAAACAAAACATAACCCCTAGGGGACTCTCAGCAGAAGGGTTTTCCTGTACATTATCACATGTGATCCCTTGAGAAGCTGGGAGGGCCTGTGTCATTTCCATTTCACAGATGCAGAAATGTGGGTTCCAAGCTTTAAGGCAATAAAGTCTTCTGCCTCCAAGGACAGAATTCTTTTCACTGGCTCACACCCCCTCCAAGTGTGTGGGAGGATAAGCACTTCATAAAGTGAAGGAGAAAAGGGGAAATCAGCTTTAGGTCCAACGCTTTCTGAATTTCAAAACACCCTCAATGATTTCCTGATTATCCACTTTATGTTATTTCTCTTTGCTGAGCATGGAGACTTCACCGGACAGCCCTTCCACCTCCCTCAAGTTTCTATGGGCTTGTGTCCTTTCCTCTCTGAGCTTGGGTAGCAGAGGTCTCCTGACAATTCACTTAACCCTCGAAACAGAAATAATTATTTGTTTAAAACCAGGAGGAATCATGATGGCTGTGTCTGGGAGGTTTGCTTCTGGTCCTCTCTCTCCACCCATCAAGACAGTACTCAAGAAAAGGAGCTGGGGATCGACATCGCAGCCCCCACGTTCCACCGACACTCCACCTAAGGGGAGAACAAGGCCTACCTCTCTGACTTCGTGAAGCTGGCCGGAATACTGACTCTTGGCTCTTCGGGCGGCGGCAGGCGACTTGTGATGCGTGATTGTGACGACACCAGGGGCCCCGGAGCTGAGGTGTCTCTGGCTACAGGGAGACGCAGAATTGGATGTTCCATGGGGGAGCAAAGTGAGACTTCGGCTTCGGGAGCTTGGAGTTGTCTAGAACAAGCAACAGGCATCAAAACTCAACAACCAGCCTGCAGAACACAACCAAGCACTGCCTTCCATTTATGCTGGACCTCTCAGGCCTTCCCCTTCATCTTTAAGAGAGATGAGGGCCTGGGGAGTACATGCTTTCATCTTACACTCACTCAGGCCAGAGAGACCATCCCCACTAACTATGCTTCTGGCCTCACTTCCGGCAGGGTCTCCTGCCCCAAACTATGGCTATGGAGAGCTGCTCCAAGGCCTTCAAACGCCACAGGCTCTCAGAGGTCTGTGTTCCTCTTCCTAAATACCCTCCCCTCCTGCTGGTAAAGCCAGCTGAGCGCTCAGTGTTGTGTGAAGCATTCCCTGTCTGTCTCAGCCTCTCTGCTCTCCTATTCCACTACACTGAGGCTATGTTTATTATCCAGCTAAATTATATGAGATTCTTTCAAATTCATCTTTATACCCCCAAGACCTGGCACATCATGATTGTTTAATTTATTAGGTACTTAATACATGTTTGCTGCATGAGAACTAAGAATGAATGCATTAAGTTATCCACCAATTAATCCCCATTTGTCCGTGCACTGCTGGTATTTCATCCTATTGGGACATATCATCCAAACAGTAACTGGGTACAAGGACAGCATCTCAACTTAGTGGCAATAAATTTTTCAATAACGTGTTGGGATAACTGGGCAGCCAACTGAAAAACAAAGTCAGATTTATCTCTCAGATCACAGACCCCAAACAGATCAAAGACTAAGAAAAAAGAAAGAGAGAACACTAGAAGAAAACAAATCCAAAAGTTGACCTAAAAATTGACAACTTCTACATGGCTAAAAGTGAAAGTCACTCAGTTGTGTCTGATATTTGCAAACCCCATGGACTATACAGTCCAAGGAATTCTCCAGGCCAGAGTACTGGAGTGGGTAGCCTTTCCCTTCTCCAGGGGATCTTCCCAACCCAGGGATTAAACCTGCGTCTTCCACATTGCAGGCAGATTCTTTACCAGCTGAGATACCGGAGAAGTTCAAGAATACTGGAGTGCAGAGCCTATCCCTTCTCCAGCAGATCTTCCCAACCCAGGAATCGAACCGTGGTCTCCTGCATCGCAGGTGGATTCTTTACCAGCTGAGCTACCAGGGAAGCCTTCTGCACAGGAAACAAATTTCAAAAACCCACTCCTGCCACCAACAAAGTCAACCAATAAACCAGAAAAAATATTTTCAACTAGCTTAACAGAAAAAAGGTTCATCATTCTAATTTGTAAGTAGGAACAGCATTTCTAGGAATTGATGAGAATAGCACAGTATTCTAGTAGGGCAAGATACGAATAGATAGTTCACATAAAAAACATAAATGGCCCTTAAGCCGTATGAAAAATGTGTTCAACTGTACTCAAATGATAAATGTAAATTCAAACCACATTTAGATATACCATCTTTCACCCATCGGATTGTAAAAACCCAGAAGTGTCAGTATGCAATCTGCTGACAGACCATGGAGAGACAGCTTTGCAAGAGTGTCAAGTGGCAGAAACCCTGAGGAGGGCAATCTGACAGGACCTGTCCCAGTTACAAGTGCACTTCCCCGTGACCCAGCAACGTCCTGTTGGGGAATGTCTCCCCCACACACCTGCACCCAGGTATAACGGCATCTGTAGTCACCAAAGTCATGTGTTTAACGGCACAGGACAGGAACCAACCTAAATATCCCTCCATGTGGGATAGGTTAATAAGACACAACATACCTCCATGATGGAACATTACTGGGATGTTAAGAGGACTATAAGAAAGGTCTCCGTGAACTGGTTTGGGAAAAGAAACCTCTAAACTATGTAGTTAAGTGAAAAAGGCAAGGTGCCTCACTGTATGCAAAGTACTGTGTTAAAATGTGGAAAATGAGTATTTTTCTCATTGTTTAAAACACAAGAATAATCTAGAAGGATACACATTGAAGTCCAAGTGATCCCACGGAGGAGATGTGAATAACAGTGTGAACAAAGAGGAAGAGAGATTCTTTCATTTTGAGCCATGTGAATGGATTATAGTGAATGGATTTTCTAAATTCTACATAAATAAATCTGTATTCTAGATGCTTCTGTACTTCATTTCAGCTCAAGAAAAACTGGCAGATTTGTGCCATTTTCTCTATTTTAATTATCAAATATTTACTGAATACCTACTGTGCACCAAGGAAAATATCTGAAATGTGATGTGGAGGAGAAACATAAGATGTACGAGGCCGTTTTTCACCACAAATGCTTATACTGTTACGGGGGACAGAGGAGCAAAGACACAGAGACAGCAAGACAGACACATACCCACAGAAAGGAAGCACGTGACAAGACACTAATTTGGCAATACAATCAGAAAACGCCAAAGTCAGGAAAAGCATGACCAAGGTGAACTGACTTCATCACAGAAGGCTGTTCTGAGGGAGAAGGACTTGGAGCTTGAGTAGAATTGGGAGAGACAGAGAGACACGTGTGGTGTACAAAGCAATCCAGGCAGGAAGTTCAAAGTCTGCAGCCTTGGGTAACAGTCCCAGGTCTAAAAAAAAAAAAAGCCACATGTAGTCCAATGGTCACTGCAACACTATTTACAAGAGCTAGAACGTGACAGCAACCTAGATGTCCATCAAGAGATGACTGGATAGAGAAGATGTGGTTATGCATACACAATGGAATATGGCTCAGCCATAAAAAGGAACAAACTTGAGTCATTTGCAGAGACGTGGATGGACCTAGACTTTGTCATCCAGAATAAAGTAAGTGAGAAATAGAAAAACAAACATTGTATATTAACACATATATGTATCGAGAAAAATGGTACAAACGAACCTATTTGCAGGGCAGGAATAGAAATGTGGATGTAGAGAACAGACTGGCAGACTGCGGGATGAACTGGGACCGACACACACACACACCACCATGTGTAACACAGGCAGCGAGTGGGAGCCTGGGGATAGCACAAGCAGCCCAGCTCTGTGCTCCGTGATGACCTGGGGCGGGGGCGCTCAAGGAGGGGACGTATGCATACATGGAGCTGATTCACTTCACGGTGCACCAGAAAACACTGTAAGGCGGCTATACCTACCCCTCCCCAAAAGGTGATGACTCATAGTTTCACAAATCGCCTAGAGGTTGGGCAGCTGCATAGGAGCCAGGGTAGAAATCAGAATTCTGTGTGAGCATGCAGTACCATGGTAGCTCATGCAGTTCTCTGGATTCAAACTCAGAATTAAGAAGACAGATAAACTTGGGAAGCAGTGTATTGCTTTCAAGTTACCTTATAAATAGGTACCTGGAGAAATCTGTGGTCTGAGAACTAAATATACTTTGATTATACTGAAATTCATAGTCATTTACTTTCAATCTTTTCCCTTGGAGTGAAGAGGAAGAGAGAAGCTATGTCTTTAACACTTTTTTGTTTGTATGTAATATATGTTTGTATGCATGTCTGTGTGTGTGTGTGTATATATATATATACATAGAGACATTACTTTGCCAACAAAGATCCATCTAGTCAAGGCTATGGTTTTTCCAGTGGTTACATATGGATGTGAGAGTTGGACTGTGAAGAAAGCTGAGTGCCAAAGAATTGATGCTTTTGAACTATGGTGTTGGAGAAGACTCTTGAGAGTCCCTTGGACTGCAAAGAGATCCAACCAGTCCATCCTAAAGGAAATCAGTCCTGAGTGTTCATTGGAAGGACTGATGCTGAAGCTGAAACTCCAATACTTTGGCCACCTTATGCGAAGAGTTGACTTACTGGAAAAGACCCTGATGCTGGGATGGATTGGGGGCAGGAGGAGAAGTGGACAACAGAGGATGAGATGGCTGGATGGCATCACCAACTCAGTGGACATGAGTTTGAGTAAACTCCGAGAGTTGGTGATGGACAGGGAGGCCTGGCGTGCTGCAGTTCATGGGGTCACAAAGAGTCAGACACAACTGAGTGACTGAACTGAACTGATATATATATATGATCCCGCATAGCACAGCATGTGGGATTTTAGTTCTCTGATCAGGGATCAAACGTGTGCCCCCTGCAATGGAAGCACAGATTTCTAACCACTGGACCGGCAGGGAATGCCCTCTTCAATCCTTCAACAACAGCTAATTTGCCTAATCCACTGAAATACATTTAGATTGTTTGGGAGCCTTATTCCAACCTAAGAAAAGGCAGATTTTTCACCAGGCTTTGAAGCCAGCCAGCCAGGTTTCACCCCCACCTCCAATCCCAGCACTACCAGCTTCGAGCTGTGTGACCTCAGGTGAGTTATTCAAACATTTTTATTAAGCAACAATTTCCTAATCTTTAAAAAAGGAATCATAATATTGACCCTTAAGCGCCATCATGAAGGTTAAATTAGCTCAGGCACAAAAAATGCTTATCACAGGGGCTGCCGTGAAGGAGCTGTGTGGCCACAGTTCGTTTGCTTCCTTACAGCCCTTAAGACTTGATCGATGATGGCATTATCGATTTTTAAAATGTTAAGAAGTCGCTTAGCACAAAATTGTAAGCAGTCATTGACCTGCTCCTTATTTTTTTTAGGATCAAAGTTGTGATGAAGTCCAAGATGTAATTAAATACTCACTAGAGAATCTATATGGTCAGCAAACCTGTAAGGAGAACCATGCTTCTAGATTCTGAGTAGATTCAGACGGGCAGGCCTCTCTCTGCCTGAAGGACGGTCCGGTCAACAGCAATAAATCAGGAAAGTCGCCCAGGAGCCAAAGAACTCTGCTGTGGACGCCTAACCCTATGTTTATTATCTAATGGCTGTCGTCTGAATTCGCAAGCAGTAAATTTGAGTCGAAAGACCTTTAATTTCTCATTCACTGTGTGTTTCTCACGGTTTAATTCACACCTATGTCTCCTCCTGAGGGCAAATAGGAGCCAAAAAAGAAGTCTCTTGGTAAATCCCACAGGGTGTCGGGAACTGGGAGGAAAAGGAAGAAAAAAAAGCAACAAACGACCACCACTGGAGACAAGCGGGCCCTT